CGTAAGTAGATCCTTCTCTGCTCTCCTGTGTCCCTCAAGCATGTCTTGTGTGTATCAAATTCTCCATATTCTCTTTCCCCCATTAAATGTCTTATGATTCTCAACTGGTTCTTTCTGATTCTAATTATAAAGTATCATTTCGGTTTCCCTGAAAACTTCGTCGTTATTCACATGCTCCAGTCATGATATTATCAGAATCCTTCTGTAAAACCATATATTTCTATTGTCTCAAGTTACTTATTCATCTGTGAGGAGTTAGTTCATCATTCAATGACATATAGCATGGCCGATATTGTATAGCTGTTCAGCACTGTTTTCTTTGTTCCTAACGAATTATTTTGAAACACCGGTTGTCATAAGATTACCGAAGTTAAGCAACGTCAAACCTGCTCAGTAACAAGATGGTTGACAGCTTCGGAATATCAGGTGCTGTAAGCTTGAATGAACGAGTGATAGAAGTCGGTGAGCCGAGTTCAAATTCCAGCCGGGTTCGCTATATTCTCTTATGCGTAAATCCCGTTGGGATTTGCTATAAATCCACTTCTTCTTTCTCCAGCTATGGATTAATTAGTAGGACTTTTATAAAAAAAAAAAAAAACATTCCGACCATCTAAATATATTTTCTGTTTTTTAATATGTTGAGCTGTAAAAACAAATAATTAAATTTTCTTGTTTCTTAATACTTTGCCCGTTATTCCAATTCGCCTTCGGATTTCTGTGCAACATTTTTCGCTATGTGTTTTAAAACTTCCTAGGTATTTAAATACTTGTATTTGCTTGATTTTGGTACCCCCAGTTGGTAGTTCCCATCTTAAATGGTGCAGAGGACCGTGGCTGTGGTGTTGAGTATAAGTAGAAGAACACACGTGAGTTAAGATTTTCCTGATAGCCGGTCCAACTACATGAGAAAGTTGGACTTTAATTAAGTCCAAAGAAGGCAAAGAAAAACAAACACAAGACCGATAAATATATGTAAACAAATATATATATTAATAACAAGAAAGGTTACAAGTTACATGGGCAGAGTGTGTGTGGTGAATATTATGTGTGTTGTGTTGTGGTGAGTGTTCGTACGTACGTGTATTGTTCTTAGCGTGTTCCTAGCATTTGGGAAACGCTGTATCTGTGAGCGTTCACATCTGCGAAGTGGTATAAGGCCGAAGCCTGAGGAAAAAAAGGAAGAGGCGAAGGGTCAGCGAGTATTTATAGCCAGGGAAGAGAGACCCCTGGGGAAAGGGTTAAGGAACTAAGGAGGAGCTAACTGCGACAATAGTTCCTTAAAAAAAACAAAAAAAAAACGACAGAAACCACATCAATGGAAATGTTGCATTGAAGACACCAATCTGAACAATTCCTGAAAAAATTCAAATATTTTCATTGCACTTGATATTTGAGAGAAAGAGCAGATTCGGTTTTTACTTCCATGTTTACCTAAGAAGATACAGTACATTAGAATAATGAAGAATTGATACGACTAAGATTCTGACGAACGAGTCTCATTTTCAGATTGTATACTACATTTTTGTTCGAGGTTAGATTTGATCGGATCATTTGCAAATAAGAAATGATTGGATCATTTAATCAAAGAATGTCTGGTTCGTTATTTGACAAAATGGATCGATAACAAGCGACGCCGGAAATCGGTCAGTGAAAATAAATATGGAGTGGAATTTACTGAGATTTGCTAGAAATCGAAGCCATTAAATAGAAGCCAGATCCTTAGAGGGTTCCATGAATATTAACATTTATGGAGTCATAAGAAACATACTCCACCCAATATCTGCTGTCCAACTTTCAAATATCTATCTATCTATCTATCTATCTATCTATCTATCTATCTATCTATCTGAATGTGATAAATTATGCATGCACGTAAGTACATGCACACACACACACACACACATATATATATGTGTATATAAAAGTGAACATTGAAGTCAACAATTAGAGGCGACAGGCTGTTTCATGCTAGACGAAATCGTCAGGCCATATATATATATATATATATATATATATATATATATATATATATATATATATAGAACGCAATGGTCAGGTCATATATATATATATATATATATATATATATATATATATATATATATATATATATGACTGACCATTGCCTTCTATATATATATATAGAGAGAGAGAGAGATAGATAGATATAGAACGTAATGGTATATATATATATATATATATATATATATATATATATATATATATATATATATAGGGGGTATACAGAACAAAATATATATATATATATATATATACGGAACAAAACCAAATTGTACAAAAAATCCAATGCATAGTAACTATAAGTAAGACGAATTTTCAGTTAGAAACATCATCAAGAAGAACACAACTCCAGTCGATGAAAATAAAAAAAATTATTTAATTATTTATTACAAATAATTAGAAACCGCTAACCTCATCGTCAAAATTAATAATTCACCTGCAAGATCTAAATTACAGAGAACCAATATTATTTATGAAATTAGATGTCCCTTAGGGAACCGTGTTCCTGACCAAACCAAATTCGTAAATAATTAAACTGGATATACTACAGCACGTTTAACGAGAAGACTCACGTTACATCTCTCTGATCATAACTCAATTAAGTCCTATTTAAATCCGCCTGGAGACTTACTAAACGCTATTCGTAACATACTCGTTGATAATACAAATATAATAACATCATCCACATGTACAAATAGGCTAAAAATAATGGAATCATTATAATTAAAGAAGAAAAAGCCAACACTCAATAATATCAACTATTTACAAGGCTACAATGTGCTGACCGTGTTAGGAATATAAAATATTCCTGTAACTCTAGATACATACATAAGAAATCCATATATTCAGTAAAAAGTAAAATAAAACTCATCCTTGATAACGTATAGTCAAAAGCGCTTGGAAATTTTTATATAACTTTGTATATCCTCTACCAGCCCTGCTTATTGGGTTGACATATTTTTGTTTTTCTTCCCCAAATTCCTCTTATCTCTTCAAGGATTTTTCTAGATAAGATCTTTTATTCATTTCCTCTTGTAATTTTTAATAAATTGTCTGGATGATTTAAACCATTTTATAATTCCGGTCTGATGAGGCAGTTGTCTGTCTGAAATATATTATTACCGAACTCTTTAATGATGTAGTCAGTTTTTACTTTGATGTCTATCATATTGCTCCATATTTTGATATATGTTGGAATTTCGAATCGAACCCTTTATGTAGTCCGCAGTGGATAAAATTGTTCTTTGAAGTAATCCAAAAAGTGACGTAACATACCTGGCCACAGCAGAAAAAAACAAAAACAAACAAAAAAACTTGGAGAGATGAGTTACTAATTACATGAAACAGATATCCAAAAAAGCATGGCACGTGAATTCCAACAATCTACTCCCTTGGTGCGGTTATAAATTCCAACGTATCTCACCTGAAGAAGCCCCGAGCGTACAACGACCGAAACACCATGAATATGGCAATAAAGATGAGAACAACAGTTCGAATATAGTGTAAATAGTTACAATATTATGTAGGAGTTACTGTCAAGTCATAGTTATCTGTATAATAATCAAATAATTGTTAATAAAAATGTTTTGCATTTTTTACTAATTGTTCACCCAATACATGGCCAAAACGCCGCTCAAGGTAGAGTATTACTGAATGAGGTTGTTGTATACATATAAGAGGAGGAGGTAAGAAGTTAGATGATGAGGATAAATAGGAAAACGGTTAACCCTGAATTTGAAAAGGTTAAGATTATAATTATTGGGAAGCATCCTCTAGGCAGTCTGTTCCACAAACTAGATGTTCTCGCGAAGAAACTGCGTGACTGGAACTTCTTGATTACTAATGGTATACGGAATGAGTGGTGATGGTTCGTCTCAGTGTAAGTGGTGTGGGGTGTCTTAACTGTGAAGGTTTCAACTTAAGGAACTAATGAATGTAGTTCGTCAGAAGGTTTTAAAAAAAAATATTATTATCCCCAAACAGGGCGATAATTCCACTACCACGCAAGCATTAACGAGAAAGGAGAGAGAACGAAAAGACTTTAGTGAGGAGTTTGGTTTGGTTTTTCAAGAATGTATAGCTGGTAATAAGTTTTTTTTTATTTTCGAAAATGTATTGCTGGTAATAAGTTTGTTTTTACAAAGTATTTCTGGTATTAAAACCTATTTTTACACTTACATAGTGTTTTAACCCCAGTTTTGGGGCTAACTATTTTAGCCATAGTTGGGACCCTAACAGGTGCTACCAGCCCGGGTCAGGGTGGACCTGGGAATATCGGCAATTAAGATGTGATTCCACGCTCCTCAAAACCTCCTGATCCGATGCCTCGCTGCTGGACGTAGTTTATCGTCTTACCCAGGACACGGATGTAGTTTATCGTCATACCCAAGACGGTTTTGTGAGGAGAAAGGACAATAAAAGAACAGAATTCAGGAAGGCAGAAAATGTTGATTGACATTGCATTTAAATTTTTGAAGATTGCAAGTGGTAGGAAAGCAAAAGAATTCCACAGGTTAAAAGTGCAAAAAAAAAAAAAAAAATGAAGAAGAAACTATTCGAATAGAACTTGCGGTTACATCTATTTCAACACAGAATGATAAGACCTAATTGCCAATCGTGTAGTACTCTTAAATTCATACAATCGAAGTACCTGATAGCTTATCAGAAAATGCGCGATGAAAATATTTATAGAAAAGACACAGGGAAGCCACGGCAAAAAAACAGTGACAGAATAGAAAGAGACTTGTGACGTTTCGTTCGTGGGAAAGAGCTTGTAGGGTGGATAGTAATTAATCATCCACAAGGCCGCGTAGAGGCTTCCGGATTCTATCAAGGCTGGAAAATGAGGATAGGGTAGTTCAAGCCATGATATTTGCTTGTTTTGATCTGGTTCTTGTAAAAATAGAATGCTTTGTCTATTAACCTCTTTGGAAGATTGAAGAAAATGGGCAAACTTTTACTTTTTATTGAGATTAATATCAGAGGGGGGAGAGAGAGAGAAAGAGAAAGAGAAAGAAAGTGAGATAGTGAGAAAGAAACACAAAGATAGATAGATATATGGATAGAGAGAAAAAAGAGAGAAAGGGAGAAAGAAAGAGTGAGATAGAGAGAGAAAGAGAGAAAGGTAGAGATAGAGAGAGAGAGAGAAAGGTAGCTTTATCGATAGATAGAGAGATAGAGAGAGAGAAAGAAAGAGAGAGATGGAGGCGGAGAAAGAGAGATAGAGAAAGAGACAAAGATAGATAAGTAGATAGAGAGATAGAGATAGAGAGAGAGAGAGAGAGAGAGAAAGAGGAAGAAGGAGAGAGAGAGAGAGGGGAGAGAGAGACAATAGCTAAAATCACAAGTTATATTACATGTTTACATAAAAATATAAACATCTTCCCTTCTTCGTTAACCGTTCACTTAAAATTAATTTTTCAATTTTCGGCAAACATGGAATTTCGTGCCCGCAAAGAAAACGGTGTTTCAAAAGGACAGTTTTTCCATTGACACCACTATTATTTTAATTAACTTCACTCCTCCGCAATATTTATTGTTTTAAAATGTGATGATTAGAATTCTAGTAAAATCTAAATATATGAAAGTGAATTCATGCATTTTCTTATTCTTGTGAATCAACAACAAAATTATTTAAAACACTATTTACTTATTAGATTGTTTATCTGTACTATTTATTATATTGTTTATTGGAATGGTTGTCAAAACATCGGCTAACTACCAATCGATTCGAACTCTATATAATTGGTAAATAATACGAATTTCCTTATAACTGGTTCACATATTTCTATAATTTAGTAAGTGCCTATAAATTTATGAATAAAAACATATTTTCATACTTATTTCTATAAATTGGTAAATGGTAAAGATTGGATCGCATTAGTTTTAATTATATTGGTTTTTAGAATATTATAAATTTACAATTGTTCTTGTAAATAAACAGTCTAATAAATAAATAGTGTTTACTGTTTTTGTTGTAAATTCTAAAGAAATAAAAAACAATGTATAAATTCACTTTCATCATATGTTTAGGTTTTATTACAATTTAAAAAAAACATTGCTGACGATTGAAGGTGGTTAAAAAATGGCGGTGTCAATAGAAAACCTGTTCTTTTGACACTCAGTTTTTTTGTAGGCACGAAGTCCAAAATTTGCCCAATTTTTGAAGGGGTATATAAGAAAAAAATATTCTTTAAAGTTTCATTTGATAATTGCATTTCATATTGAGATTTTTAGACATAATGTTTACTTTTAGCTAAAAAGAGTCATTTATTGACAAAACATTCTGATCGTAAATTGAGGCAGTAAGTGGTAATTTTCACGATTCAAATCGTCTGTTCTGTCTAATGTGAGCGTAACGTAAGAGGCTAAAATTTCTTATAGCAATACTCTTAACAGAGCTAATGAAATATGATTACAGTCTAACAACGGTGATTCAAGAAATTGCTCACGTAACTACATAAGTTTCTAAGCTCCTGAAATGCTATAACTTTTCCTTCTCCACTTACATCAGAATAATCCGGAACGTTTATTGAGAAAGGAAAAAAAGCAGAGAGAAATGAAATTGAACAAATACATGAAAAACAGCAAGAAGCCTAAGAAAAGGATGCGTTCTCTCGATGGATTTATTTAAACTTTAAAATGTGGCCATCCTAAAAGAACGAGAAGTCCTATCAGGATTTATTCTCGGTGGACACAAGATTGACAACATGAGATACGCAGCTGACAGTGTGTTGATGACAAACTTAGAAGGAAAACTGCAGTAACTCCTAGAGAGTGTATTAAAGGAGAGGGGGACGAATGGTATAACCATCAATTATAAGAAGACAGAATATGTAGCCATTAGCAAGGGAGACAATCGCGATGGAGCCATTAGCAAGGGAGACAATCGAGATGGAGTTTTGAAAATAAAAGGTATGGGTATTTAATAATCTGGGAAGTGTTATAACAGACGAGTAAAAAATGACACAGAAATCTGTAGGAGCAATGGAATAATGAAAAATGACTTCCAAAATCTAAACCCAATAATAAATGATAGGAAAATTTTGTTCAAAATTCAATATCAATCTTGGTATATGATAGTAAATGCTGCTATTGAGTTCTTATGTTTTGTTTTGTAGTAATCGGTTGTTTTGGGCGAGTGTACTCATAGCGCAGCCTATTCGATGTGCAGCTTCCCTATACTAATTTTGTTATAACTGATCTAAAGATATTTGGAGTATTCAATGTTTACTAATTCCAAATCTGATTTTTTTATGACAGATTAAATGTACGTGGTGTCCTTGATTTCATCACAGTTTCAGATCATAGTTTCTCTTTTGGAAAGGTTTATCTTGAGTTCTATTTCTAGGAACACACGATAGATATTGATTTTGTATTCCAGATAATTCCTATCCCGACAATGAATACACATGTCAGCCCCACCTTATCATCTATAGAGTGACCTCGGGATAGAAAACAGAAAATCTGTAATGATTTTAAGAATATTAAACGGTCTCTGTGTTGAAATAAAAATATAAAGCAGGGAATATATATATATATATATATATATATATAAGTGAACATTGAAGTCAACACTTAGAGGCGACAGGCTGTTTCATGCTAGACGCAATCGTTACGCCACGAGTGCTGTTTTTTTTTCTCAGCTATTTATATGTACGGGTCAGTGGTGCATTGTGGGTAGTCTATTTTGGCGGTTATTTTGCCGGAAGTCGTTTATTTGTTTATTTATTTGGGTTAGATTATTTTGCTTGTTTTTATTCATTTTTTATTTCTTATCTTATATATATATTTATTTATTTTTATTTTAATCGGTGTTTTATTAACGTAGTAAAAATTTGTTTGTATCGCTTATTTAATATTTTTGTTTAGGTTTGGGAAAATATTTAAAGCTATTTATTCTATTTTGGTGTTGATTGCTATGGTTTATTCTAACTATTATTTTGGCGGGAGCAGTTTTTAATTTGTTTATTACTTCATTTATTTATTCATTCATTGGATTGATTATCTTTACTGGTTTTTTCTAACGATTTATTTATCGGGATCGGTTTGTTAGTTTGTTTATTCATTTATTTATTTGGATTAAATTAGATTAATTTATTTTACTTGTTTTTATTATTTATTTATTATACTGTATATTTTTATTTACTCTTTTCGGTTTTCGATTTTTAATAACGTAGTATTCTTTTTATCGCTATATAATAATTATAGCTATGTTTTTCGTTCGATTTTTGGTTTGATTTTTATAGTCTAACTAATATTTTGATCATAATGGTTTGTTAATTTGTTTAATATTTACTTTATTTATTTGGGTTCATTGATTTTGTTTTTTTATTTTTTATTCATTTATTCTATTTCGTCTATTCTAACAGGTGTGATTTGGTAATTTGTTTGGGTTAATTTATTTTACTTATTTTATTTTCATTTTGTTTATTTATTTATTTATCATTTTTTTTCAGTTTTCGATTTTTAAGTAACGTAGTAAAAATTTGTTTTCATGTCTGCATTTTGAGATGAGCTCGGATCGTTTATTTAATAATTTATTTTGGTCTGGGAAGGTAATGATAGCTATTTTTCCTCCAAGCAAAGTTTGCAAGTTTTGGATTGGTTGTTGCAGGCTGATGATCTTTTCCTTATTTTACAAGATATTTTTGGTGTGATGTGCGTTTTGTTTTTAATTTCTCAGATATATTTAGAAAACATTGTGCTGTTCGCGTATTTATTATTTGCTATTTGTTTTATATATATATATATATATATATATATATATATATATATATATATATATATAGTGGGGGCAAATGAATATTCATAAACATGCAAATTTTTAATTTATTGTATTTCCAACTAATGACTAAGCATACTTTTCATATAATTAACTGTACACAGATGCATAATAACTAAATATGCATAGAAAACAAAAAAATGTTTTGATTTAATAGAAATAAATCCCATTTATACATTTTAATGGGTGAAAAAAGTGTTCGTACAATACAAAAAAGAATATATAATCCTCATTTAATAGCCACTATTCACTTCTACAGCAACAAACCTCTCCTTGTACTTCTAAATGATTTGCAAATTTTAGTTGGTATTTCGTTCCACTCATCATCGAATATGATCTTCTGATCCGGGATGTTTGTTGGAGCTCTCGATTGGATTTGAATTTTCAAATAACGCCACAGTTTCTTGACTGGGTTTAAATCTAGGGACTGACTTGGCCATTTCAGGATATTTACATTATTTTCAGCAAGCCATTTCTGTTGCAGTTTTTGCAGTGTTCTTAGCATCATTACCTTGTCCGAAGATCCAATCAGAAGGAAGTTCAAGATTTTCAACCGAAGTCATTAAATTTGCTTCCAAAATATTTTGATATGCTGTGGCATTCATTCTACCATTTATTACTGATATGTTGCCTGTACATTTTCCAGAAAAACATCCCCAAACCATAATGATATCACCAACAAATTTCACGGTTGGAACTATATTCTTTTGTTTGAAGTTAACGCTATCCCCCCACCACATACAAAATAAATTCTAGAATTACGTCCAAACAACTCAATTTTGGTTTCGTCTGTCCATAATACTCTTTCCCAATACTATTTTACCTCATATTTATGTTCACAAATGAATTTCGACCTGGCATCTCTGTTTTCTCAATAGCGTGAGGAGAACGTGATTTTAGATTGTTCCTATCAATTTCATCGCTTATTGTACGTTTACTGACACAGATTCCTGATGAAAGCAAATCCTCCTGCAACTCGTGACGAGTAACAATTGGATATTGTTTAATTTGACGCATTAATTTCCTCAAAGATGTTGCAGAAATCTTTCGTGGAGCAGTTTTGAGTTTTTATACCTTGCAATGAATGAACTAATGGCAATGAATGGAATATTCGGGTTGTCTGAGATTTTCTGGAAAACTTTTACCTTCTTTCCATAGCTTCACAATCAGTTCTTTTGCGAATTTGTCAGTTCT